GTGAAGTTGTGAAGTTGTGAAGTTGTGAAGTTGTGAAGTTGTGAAGTTGTGAAGTTGTGAAGTTGTGAAGTTGTGAAGTTGTGAAGTTGTGAAGTTGTGAAGTTGTGAAGTTGTGAAGTTGTGAAGTTGTGAAGTTGTGAAGTTGTGAAGTTGTGAAGTTGTGAAGTTGTGAAGTGATGGATAGTTCAGGTTCGAGTGCAACCATTTGAAATCCACAACACCCAGTGAAGTATAGAACCAGAGACTGGGCCACCGTGCTGCAACACAGGAACCAATCTTGATTCCCAGGCAACTCTGCACTCGAAAGTCGAACGGGATCAGACGGCATTTGGGGTAAGTTGCATGTTTGTTTTCAAAGTAGCACTCGTGCAGAGTGGTATGTCATGTACCTTGAATTTGGTGATTGCACTCCATGTCTCTTGTCCGAAGATACCACGGAGTACGGAGCACGGAGTATACAAGACCACTTGATCTAAAAAATAAAATAAAAAAACGACCAAAAAAATTTACGATTCCAAGCTATCCACATCGGCTTGACATCCCCCGGCACTATAAACTCCACAATCAGCTCCAATAGACCATCCTCTGGCATGCTGTCGAATCCAATCAGCACTAATCTGGAAATAGCAAGAGGGGCCTTGCACATTCCGATGTAGTTCGTGACTAATTTAATTTGAATCGGCCTATCAGAGACGGTTGATGATTTTGCATGCAATACTTTTTTGGTGCAATTGGGTTCTGTTAGATCGAGTGTTTTGGTGAGACAGCCTGGAGGTTGTGCGAGGTGAGCATAGAGGGATATAAGTTGTACGGCCAAGGTGGTGTGTGTAGGTCGGGCATTTTGGATGACCTGCATGTCGATGTTAGATTTCTCCAATGACTGGACCAACCGCTAGATACCATCGACGGGAGCTTCTACAATCTGCGGCGGTGTCTGTGTTCCCGCAGTAAGGTTCTCTCAATGAAGGTGAAGTTGCAGTTCATGGATTGGGCTACGCTAGATAGAATCATGTCCTAACCAACGGAAGAATCACCAACTAAAAACCCATCGAAAACAAACAGCACGATCTGACTTCAGAAGTGCTCGCGTTTCGCTCCATCTCTCTCCTTCACTGTGATCGAATCAAATAGCCATAATGGCTATCAGCACTGCCGTGGCTGCTAGCGGAGAATGATGGGCAAATCCAACTAGTCCACAGCGAGGATTCCAGAGAACATCAAGTTGGGCTCATCCATGAAGTGGAACCCCTCAGCAAGAGCGCATCTAGTGGAAGAACAAGTCAGCTAAGAAATCCTGGAGAGGAATTGGAAACCGCCAACATACGGATCAACTTCAAAGCTGGCAGTGCAGTCGTACGCTCCCTCCTTGATGCTTTGCAAGACGTCCCAGCCGTCGTGGAGGTCGTAGAAGAAGATTTGAACATCGACACCAGACTTTAAAAAAGACAGATTAGTAGTGACTAAAACTATAGAACTACTGACACGCAGAATTACCTCAGCCTGCTTGATCAGAATGCGCTCGAAGCTCTTGCTATGCCAGACCGGGTCGGCGGCAATACCCAAGACGTTGTCGTTGTCACTCGTCTTGAAGCCAGTGGGAAGGCCGGAGAGACATATGACACGGGAAGCACCCTCTTCGACGCGAATCGAAAGCTCGACGTTGTCCGAAAGACCTTCCTCCGGCATGGTAACAGATATGGTGAGGTCATCATCGCCATCCTTCAATTGGATGCCATCGGAGTGGTTCTCATAGTATTTGACGCAGTCATCTTGCTCCACAAACTGCACAACGACTTCGCCATTTTCACCCCAAGCACGCTCGATGATACCACCATAGACGAGCTGCAAGATGCTGGAGACATTTGCCCACTCAGGAAGATTTCCGAAAACAACTCGGCGAGGAGGTCCAGCCGGCACAACTTTGGGGGCCATCTGCTTCTGGAGGTGGAGCAAACGGACTTGTTTCATGAAATCAGCCGGGGCAGTCAGACCTCGCGGCTTCGGGGGAGAACCAATGGATTCCTTATCTTCAGTGGATTCAGCCTTCCGGGAAGCCTTGGAACTAGCGACGGAGTTGTTGTCTGCATCCTTCCTCTCGCCATTGGCATTGTCGGGAGTGGCTTTGTTGGGCCCATCAATGGCCTCGCCGGGATTCATCTTCATAGGTGCACGAGCGACTTCATCCTTGAGTCCAGCAGCCTGGGTGGCAGCCGGGACAAAGGGCTTGGCGCGAGGATCAATGCCAAGATGCTTCTGAGCGGGAGCGGGGATGCGCGAAGCCGTGACACGAGAAGCAGCAGCTTTCTTGTCCTAAAAATGCTTAGTGTGAGAACACAAGCAACGAAGAGAAATGAGCATCATTTTCGAGAGTGACAGGAGTCGAAGGGATCCATGGACAAGAAACAAAAGCAAGATCAGAGGAGGGAAGCGCGTCCAATAAAGAAGAATACAACATGCAGTACAAAGGTCGAAATCTGGATTGAGGAAGGGCGTGACATGCCTTTTCGGCCTTCATGGCCTTTTCAATTTCCTTCGATGCAGTGTGAACCTTAGGAGGTTCATTCACCTCCAGCTGGGCGAAGCGACGTGAATTCAGGCAAGACGAGACAGTTTGCACACCAGCAATGCGATCAGCACGCGCCTTGTTGCGAACAGCCACAGGGGCATGGACGCTCTCCTCCAGGCTTATCATTTTGCAATTGGTAATCACATCGTAAATCACCTCAGTGGTAATGCGTACATCGGCCTGTCTTTGGAGACTAATTGGAGAAAGACCATCTGGTCCAATAACCTTGGGCTTCTCCATGATGCAACGAAGAAGGGAATCGGGATGAGGATGTACAGAAGAAGAGAAAAAACCGAAAAAAAAGAGGGAAACCAAACTATTTATTTTAAACTGGAACACGCGTCGAACGTGTTTGAGATGGAGACTTGGGAAGGCACAATGGACCTCTTCCTCCTGTGAGAACACACAGCGCATTAACATCTCTGTAGTTAAGAAGATCCAGTCCAAATCTCAGACAGGGGACAAGGGTCATCCTACTCTTCACAGGTCCACGAACAGGTCTCTAGAAAATTACAAGAAAGAAATCTGCCAAACCGCCTCTTGTAGCTCTTCCACTTCTTATGCTTTCATCAACCATGCTTATTGTACTGTAGATACCAGCTAGTTCATCAGTGATTGCGTAGACATTGGTGAGACCTCTGAGTATGGTGTTCAAGTATTCATCCACTAAGAACTCTTCTAAAAAGTAGCTTCAACTTTTCTAGTCTTAGTTCACTAACATCTGCCAGAGATCCCTTCTGGATGTAGGCGTGAAGGGAGAGTCCATTGCTCGTTCAAGAATTGTTCCCCTATGGATGTAGCACCTGTCCTTCCTTGTTATGCGTCAACCGCACGTTCATGTTCTTTTGGATCACAAACCACGCATTGATAATCTCCCATTCCGCACTAGGATCCACGAATTTAATCTAAAAAAAGGCTCTGGTTAGACTCAAAAAATCTCAAATCTCACTAACCAAATTCTCACCTTGTATCGTAGAAAGAGCGAGGGAATCAACTTGTAAATCTCCAGAAGACTGATATTCTTGCCAATGCAAGTCCTCGCTCCAGCCCCGAAAGTAAACGTCGCCCGAAGCATCTTCTGCCTTCTGTCCTGAAAATTGGCCTCAGACTCAGTCTCCATCTTGAGCCACCGCTCCGGAACAAATGAAGTTACATCCTCCCCAAAGACATGGTTCCGATGTATGACCCACGGATTGGCACCAACTATCGTCCCAGCCGGCAGAAATGGACCACCATCCGGAAGCTGGAGTCCCTCAGCAGGCACTACCCGCTCAAGCATCAATCCTACGGCCGGGTGAAGACGTAGTGCTTCTTTAATTACCGCATCGAGGTAGGGGAGTTGCTCTTGGCTTTGCTTCCACGACACGGGTAAAGAGATCCGATTTTCTTTCAAGGCGAGGGTGAGCTCTTGGTGCAATCGCATACTTGCTCGGGGGCTCTTGAGGGTGTAATAAAGGATCGCCCGGAGAGAAATCGCCGTGGTGTCGGAACCGGCACTGATATTGCTGATCGTGTATGCGAAGACTTGGGTATCGTTTACAATATTCGGGTGCTCGTTTTTCGCTTCCAAGAAACGGTCGAGAAAATCCTTTTGCTTTCTGGCCACTGGACATGCGTCTTTCCGGTTTAATCGTTCGTCGAGTCTCGTGCGAGCAAAGCGAGCCGCAGCCCCGGTCGATCCCTTTCCGAGAAGGTTCCTGAGAGGGTTCTTGATGAACAGGTAGTCAAGCCATGGCATCTGCCCAATCTGTGCTCAAATCCATTAGCGTTCCGGTCAATTATCTTCTCGACGGAAGTGCTGACCGTTCCGGCATAGTGGAGAAAATGCTCGATTGCGGCAATGATTCCGTCGACATCATTCCCTTTCTCAAGGAAGCCCAGTGGCTTGCTGTAGGTTAATTCTCCGATAACATCAAATGCATCTGTTTAGTTGGCGCTGTTAGCTTCTATTCTCACGTTTCACGGGAAGAGATCGATACTTACAGTATTGTAGCCAGATGGCAATATCGAAGACTTTCGCTTCGGCCACAAACTCATCCAACTTCCCGAAAAAAGTATGAATGGTCTTGTCTACATAAGGCTCGAATTCGGTCAGTGTGCTCATTGCATAAGCGGATGAGATGGGCCTTTTAATCGCAGCATGTAAATTTTCATCGATTGTGGAGAACAGGGTCGGCAACGTTTTGCCTTTGGCAAGCTGTTGCTGAACACGATAGAAATTTGTCTTGCGGATGTTAGACAGATCGATCGGTTCTTGTGAATGGGACTCACCTTTTGATATCCCTTATTGATGCCATAGATAGTTTTCAAGGCATCTAAATTTTGGACGCTGACTACGTTGGGTCCTAATCGAACATAGTCCCCGTATTTTTGATGAAGGTTGTAAAGCTTCACCTCTGCACGACCATGGGCCACATCAATGAACCTCCAAAGGTTTGTAATCTTAGCCAATAAGGGTCCGGGGACTGACGCTACTCCTGGTTTGAAGTAATTGCGAGTGAAGTGAAATAATGTCAGGGTGACAAGGATGGCTGGTAGACCTGACCAGATTGATATCAATGCATCTGCGATGATGGCCATGGTGAAATCCACAGGTATTCTTCCCTGATGTGCTAGTAGACCTAACTAGGTATACTATTTATACCTTGGGCGAGAAGAGGGGAAATGAGGGGAAAGTGAAGAACTCCGCTCTTACAGCTCCTCGGCTCAATGCATGCCTATCTCTCATTTGGGGGTGAGGCCAAGCGTCGGGCCGGGTACCGAGCGGGCCGAGTGTGGATTGATAGAAATCTATAATGCACCAATGAATGCACCAATGAATGCACCAATGAATGCATCACCATTTGTCGTCGGGAGCGGGCTCTGGGACGCAATCCCCGCATAGCAGCACGTATGCAATAGCGAGCTAGATCGGGTCAATGAATTCATCATCATCATCATAGTGCACCAATGCATGGGATGACCGATGGGCAGGCATACACACCTCTCTGAATTCTCGGATTGAATTTTCAAACTCCGCTCTTTTCCCTTCTATGTAGACACAGGAGACTTGAACCTTTCATTTGGATAGGCTACGTTATGATGGTGGTCTGAGTAGTTTTCCGGGGCATTGAGCCCTGTTTTCAGCCATGCATGGTACCAATTGGGTTCGATTAGGTCCTTTGACCGCTGGCATGAATTGTGGGACTATCTGCACTGTAGGGAAAGCGATGCTGTTGCTTTAGGAACACTCTCGGGAGGCTCTGATCCGCATCAGTCACTACCATAGGTTCAACGTCTCCATGAGACGCAACCAAGCATCACATACTATACTGAATACCGATATGGACATGGGAGTAGCTAGCGATGCGGTGGGGAATAATGTGATCATTACTGGCAGTTACTCTACACGCCCTTGAACAAGAATTCGAAGAAAAGCTTGAGGGGAAACGGGACCGTTTGGGTTTGTGGCATTCTCTGACAATGGAAAGAAGAAAACAGACTATTGATTATCTGACTGTGCGCTATAGTGAGTTCAGTCACCGGTGGTTGAGGCGATCAGCAATCTTATCAGCTAACGCGGACAGTGAAGCACTTCCCATCACATCGAAAATCGACATTTCACAGCCTGACTGAGCCACCAACCAGTTCCGCAGCTCGACCGCGACCAGGGAATCGACTCCATAGTGTGACAAGGGCATGGACGGGTCGATCTCAGATACGGGCGTGGCGAACATCTCCGACAGTTTCTCGATGACAGCGTGCGTGATCAACGGAGCAACAGGCTGCTCTGCGGCTGCCGCCTCAGCAAGTGCTTGTTTGAGGGAACGAAGTGATGTTGTTGGAGTGACAAGCCCAGCAATGTGGATTGCTCCATGACGCCGCTGAAGACCAGCAAACCGCGGGTCGGATCTCCAACCGGAGGCACCTGCATCCGGAGCTTCAGGATCGAAGCCCGCAATGCCAGTAATAACCTGACTGGTGTCGATGGCCCCGATCGGATCCCGGATGGCGCTCTCGACCAGCTGAAGGACCTCATCTTCGCTCAGAGGGCGATATCCCTCGCGGACCAGCCGATCCCCCACGGCTTTGTTTTCCGCTAGCCATCCGACTGACTGGACCATGCCTAGGTCGAGGGCAACACCTGGTAGCCCCTGCGCGACGCGATGGCGCGCCAGAGCATCCTGATACGATCCGCCGGCGCCGTAGTTGGCTTGACTGGCGTTCCCAACGACGCCGACAACCGAGGACAGCATGATGAAGAAGTCCAGGCGGTCTCCGAAGAACTCGTGAATATTTCGTGTGGCCTGGACTTTGGCGGCGATGCTACTGGACCATTGGGTAAAGGACATCTGTTCGAGAATCGAGTCCTGAAGGTTCATCGCGGCTTGGATCACGCCGCGGATGGGTGGCATCGTCTCCTGGCACTCGAACAAGACTTGTCCCAGGTTCATGGACTGTGAGACATCGCAGTTGACGGCCACCGCTTCGCATCCCATATGTCCCAGCTCCTTGATTAACTTCTGTGACTCCGGTCGGGAGGCGGAGTTACGGGAGACCAGGATCAGATGCTTGGCCCCACGTTCGACCATCCAGCGGGCAATTGACCTCCCGATGCCTCCCAGACCACCGGTAATCAAGTAAGTGACCGTGGAGGAGAGTCGAACCGGGCCAGGACCGGCACTAACCTTGACTTTATCACCTGATCGAGGCACTATGACAATCTTTCCAATATGCCGGCCCGCTTGCATCTGTCGGAATGCTCGACCGAGGTCGGAGATGGGGTAAGTGGTGATGGGGCTGATGGCACGGACGGCTTTCTGCTCGAAAAGGCTGACCACGTCACGCAAGATACGGAAGAGAATTGGACCCCGGTAGTCGCTCAGCTGGACTAGATCAAAGGAAGCGAAGGTCACCGCATCTTGGAAGGGCCGCATCTCGAGCTGCTTGTTGGACTGGATGTCTTTCTTTCCGATCTCCACGAAACGCCCGTACGGGGCCAAACAATGCCAGGTCTCGTCAAGCAATTCGCCGGCTAAGGAGTTTAGCACGATGTCTACTCCTTTGCCCCCGGTAGCTGTCTTGACGGCCCGAGCGAAGGAAGGATCGCGGCTAGAAAAGATCTGGCTAGCGGGGATCTGGTACGTGTCCATCAGGAACCGCCTCTTTTCCGGAGTTCCTACCGTGGCGAAGATCTTGGCCTGCTTCCATTGCGCCAGGATGATGGCTGCCTGGCCGACACCCCCAGAGGCGGCGTGAATCAAGACTGTCTCTCCTGCCTCTAAACGCCCGGCCTCGAATAAAGAGTAATACGCGGTGACAAACGTCATGGGGATGGATGCTGCCATCTCGAAGTCCATCTCGTCTGGGATACGGGCTGCAGATGTCCAGGGCACACGCGTGAGATTGGCCCAGTGGCCATGGGCCATAATGGCACAAACTCGATCTCCTGCCTTGAAGTGGTGAGCGGCAGTCCCCTGTGTGCGCTTGACGATGCCAGCACACTCGAAGCCCATCTGAGGCTCCTCCATCTGTCCCATGGCTACCATGATATCACGGAAGTTGAGACCGAAAGCACGGGGTTCAATCTCCACATAGCCCTCGGGCAATGGGTCATGTGCCTCGGGGTCATCCTTAAACACCAGGCTGTCGAGCAAACCCGGGGTCCCAGTGAACAATCGGAAGTCTCGACCTGGTTGATGGAATGGCTGCAGCTCAGCTTCTGTAGATGGCGTCACTGCCTTACTCGCCTCCGAGTCAAACCTAACTCGGGGAACGAGGAGCGCGCCATCTCGTAACGCGAATTCAGAATCAGGCAGAGATCGTATGAAGACCGCCTGGATCACATGGCCAATGGCGCTTATACTCGACATGGCCCAAGGCTCTTCGGCGGGGTCCAGATCTAGGGAGATGTATCGTTTGCTGCTATTCTCTGCGCGGCAAGTCCGAAGCATTCCAGTATGTAGGGCTTGGTCCGGGAAATCACTGTTGATTTCTGATCCCCGCGATAGCCATGCAACGTGTTTGGACTGCGTAAGAATGGCCTTTAAGGCAGTGAAATCCGGTTCGTTCATTTGACGAAGGAATGGGGCAGCGATCTCCGCAACGAACACAACTACCTTCTCACGGGGGTCAAGGCCATGGAGTGGTTCAACAATTACGGCGCTATGCGTGAGACCAGAAAGCGCGGCCGTGAGACTGTTAGTCCACTCCTCTGGGGGCTGGCTATCAGTGTACACCACCGAGATGCTGTTGATCTTGGAGCCAAATGTTTCGGGTTCGTTGACGGCAGTAGTAGCAGTGGAAACAATCACACTAAAGCAACGCTCTTCTTCGTCATTGCAATCAGGGATCTCCAAATCGATGCCAGAAAAGCCCGTCTCGCAGAGAATTTGCTCCCATTCAGCCATCGATCGAGGTGGGTTCCAATGCTGTGATAGAAGACCAAAAAGAAGTCTTGTATCTGCTGTCTCGCGCACCCTTTCAATCACGATTAATTTCCCACCTTCCTTCAATAATGTTCGGGCATTGCCCATGGCTGCACGAAGATTGGTAGCCTCGTGGGAGAGCAACGACGTGATAACAATGTCGTAAGACCCGCTCTCAAACCCTTGGCTGCTGAGATCTTCTGCAAGGTCCAAGGGCTGATACCTAACCAGGGGTGCCCATGCAGAAAATTTATCAGTGGCTGCATTATCGGAGGTCCTGGGGCCTGTCACAGTATACTCCCCCACGCGAGCAAATAGCGAACCCGCACTGTCTCCCGTGAGAGATTGCATGATTTTCTCCACACATTCCCCAGGGCTCCGAGTTCCAATCTCCAGAATCTTGGCTCGGGGAGTCTGATGAGCGTAAAGATCTACAATCTGGGCGAGCCGCTCGACTGCCGCGGGTTTATGCAGCATCTTTTCCAGGAATGTGTCGAGAACTGGGTGGTTGGCCTCTCTGGAAGCCTGCAATGGATCCATCTGATCCCGGAGTATCGCCAGCAAATTCTGGCCGAGAGTAATCAAGAGCTGCCCGTTCACACTCTCGGTGGCTACTCGATCGAGGAGCCGTTGTTTCACGCCTTCACTGGCGGAGGCCCATCGAGAGCTGCGTGGGGCCAGTTGGTTACCGGCTGCT